TGCGTGTATTGTGGTCGTAGGAGGCACATTAAATATTCAATTTCTTAATTAGATTTCGATGCGATTAGATCACGTACGTAGTGTACATTAAAAAAAAAGCGTGTAAGCAGGTCAATACACAAAACAATATTCAAATCTGCCTCCGCGAAGTTCGATTCGCCTTAATATTAACTTTTTAGTAGCTACATACCAATATATGAAACATTTTCATTGTACCCTAGAGGGTACCATAAGAAAATGTTTCATATAGACACAGTTTAAAAACACTGAATAAAAACCTAAGTACTAAATAAAACAACATTTTAAATTGTTTTAAGTCCAAGGAATATAAAAAATACTCAAATTGGTCCAGCCGTCTTTGAGTTTTGCGCTTAGCAACATATTTTGCGATTTTTTTTTATATAAGTTTCCTTCAAGTTTGATGACCTTTGTTTATAATTCTTGATGTTCAATAAGTCTTTTAATAATTTCCATGTACATAAATCAGGTACAATTTCATTATATTATACGATCCAGGGCAAAACCCTCTAATTAAAGGGCAAAGCACTCTACATGACCAACTAGATTTTCAGTCTTTTTGTATTTTGCTGAATTTGCTTCGACGTTAATAAATGACCAAACGATTTAAGCTTTCAGCTGAGCTTCTTAAGCAAGAATTTGTGAACATTAAATACTAGTGAGGAGAACATATTTGCTAACCATGTGTCCTAATATATGAAATTCATATGTTATTTTAAATAAAAAGCTATAGTTTTTACTGAGTACAAACTTTACTGAAATTCATTGGGTAGACTAGGAATATAGACTTATTTTGAATACAGACGAAGGTATGTTAGTGTTAAACATTATAAATATTTTTTTGTATTTTTGCTGACACCACACCACCGCTGACACCACCATGAGTCTATTGAGAATATTATTAAATTTTAACGTATATAAATATAAACACAATATACTTTAGTATTTAGTCCTCATATACCATTTTAAACATCCAAAACGAACAATTATTGAAATTTTTAAATAGAAACCACCGCCATCAGCTGGTCGTGCAAAAAGAGCGAGCTAAAATCACTGATTGCTGATAAATCACAAAACTGATAACTAAAACTTGTTTTCTAACTGTAACGAGCAAAAACACTTGCTATCTCATTTATCGAACATATCTGAATGCTATCTGTAAATAAAATATGTATGGAGGAACGATTTTAAGGTCCAATTTAGAAATAAATTTACACATTTTTAATCTAGTGGCGTTTTAACTCTTTATGGGTTGATAATTTTACCATCATTATTTGAAAGAAAGAAAGAAAAAACTTTATTATACACAATATACAGGATATTATTTAGATTTAGTAAAGTGCACTGGCCCCCACACTGGGATTGTGGGGAGCCAGTCTCTTCCTTTTGACAAGTAAACAGTATTTTAAAAATTATATTAATGATTTCTACACATTTATATTTAAACTATTTTTGCACAATAAGAATATTTTCAGTATCAGAATAGGATAGGTTAACAAGATATTGTTTGAGATGTTTAGTAAATGTATGTAATGTGATTTTTGAAATGTTAATAATAATTTTGTTTTTAATGAAGTGGTTAAAGATGAAAGGGCCTCGGAAGGAGAAAAAGCGTTGGGCGAAGAAAGTGCGAGTTTTGGGTTGCTTATAGGTTTGCGTTTTGTTTGATGTGGTGCGGCGGGTGTTTGTTTCCGAAAAAGTCTGCATATTGCTATTAAGTATAATTGTCTCACAGTTAAAAGCTTATTTAAAGGCAAGTATGATATGAGTCGTCGATTTTTGGTGTAAGGCAGACTGGTTCTCTTGCAATGTTATATTTTTAGTTTTTATTGTCTTTAGTTTATTCGTTACACGCGTTAAATTTTTCAGATTGGTCACCTTTTGTGGCTCCCACTCGTGAGCGAGCACTCACAATATTAGCATGTACCTACCATTTTGCCAAAAAAAATTAATAAAACTTTTTACAACATATTTATTTATGTTTAGGATATCGAACAGCATGTGTTAAGTATATGTGGATAGCTTCTAGAAACTGTAATTTTTGACATTTTCCTATTGACGTAAATTATTACTTTGATGAACAGCTGATAGGTCAAAATTAAAACTTTGGGGAATGACCCCGAGGTTAAAAACTTAAAGAAGGTTTTTTATATTTTTATTTTGTTTTGTACAGTACCAAGATAATAAGATTTTAATGTAAAAATTTGAACTTTCTTTCAAATATCGTACATATTGCATCAATTTAATTTTTATATTCGATTCTTTACAAAGCTGTTATTAGAAGTGTTTCGACTTTTACGAGTGTTTTTAAGATGTTTATAAAGTTACATGAATATTCAGTCCAAGTAAGCACTTAAAAGCCGTGTAATTCCTAGTTTTTCTAGTAATAGCTTTTTCTCACGCATTCAGTTCACTTCGGGGAACGAACCTGCGGTGTGTATAAAATAAACATGATCCGTGCACTGCTTCAATATTGCATTTCTATCGTGCCTCTTTCTTTCCTCTTGCTTTAGTTATTACAAAATGAGTATATTAATTGAATAACTTGCTTCCAACTTAAGGTCCAATTAATAAAGGGGTTATTAAGTTCAGATAGTTTGTAATCAAAGCTAGTGCTGTATACACAGGAAGGGACGATCAGTACTTGGGCTAAAACAGTGTGATTAAGGTAAGGTATGTTAATGTCAAGATGTCGTGAATAGTCAGTTGTCTTTCAGTACCCAACTCATAGAAATTTTCGGTTTAGGGGTCTTCAAGAGAAAAGCGTACCTTAAAGGCCGGCAACGCACTTGTGGTTGCTCTAAATAACATTTGTTAGAACTTTAGAATGATTAAATTTTAGAATCTAAGCAAAACTTTATATTTAAGCAATAGAATTATAATAGATAATGTGTTGAATGTTTAACGGTACTTCCTGTGTAAGAAAGTGAGTATAGAGCGACAAATAATGCTATCTATTTGATCTTAGTACAAAACGGTAAGTACTAGTCAACCTAATGTATGATTGCTGGAAAGCGTAAATAATATAATAGTAATGTTTCGTAACATAATTTTTATATAGAAGGTTATATATAGGAATTTTTATTGTAAATATAGTGATGTGTTATATATTTGTAGGAATAAATCAAAGCTGTAGAAATTTTTTTTTTTAAGGTAATTCTCACTCGTTCACGTAAATATTAATATTATAACTCTGGAAGTTTAATTTTTATATTTTAGTATAGGGTAGGAAGTAAACGAGCAGGCAGGAGCAGTCACTTAAAGCGCCGACCACTCTCAATGCCAGAGGACTCGCGAGTGCGTTGTCGGCCTTTTAAATATTTTTTTTAATTCCTTTATTTTACAAAAAAATATAATACAATCATAATAAGTTACATTAGAAATCCGCTGTGGTTTGTATTTATGTAACCATAGCAGTCTTGTTTAGGAGCGCGACAAATGCATATAAAAGTAGTTTTTTAATTTGCTGTTTATGTTGGTTGACGTTAGGCAATCTAATATATGATTTGGTAGACCATTTATTAGCCTAATTCGAGTTACATTGGAAATAGTGGGCAGCTGGTTCCACGTTGTGGTGTTGCGTGGTTAAAGCTACCTTAAAAACCTGTAGGACGTCAAAAGTTGAGGTGAAACAGTGGAATTTCATATTCTGCCTCGACGTCCAAAGATTAAACTCAGCTGCAGGTATTAATCCGATCAACTCCTCTGAACACTCTCTCTCTCTATGAATTCAATAGTATATTTATTTTATATATAACATTATTATATTCCATAGTATTACCCAAAAGCATAATACATCGGAGCCACTATATTTTCCACGTATTAATTTTTCATATCAATTCTAATAAGAACATTGTAATACTAGTCGATCGTGGTTCTAGCGACTCCCACGATTATTCGTTAATGATTGAACAGATGTTCGTCTTTGTATTGACCCATTAGCTATAAGGCTCCCTTGTAAATACTAGGTACTGTTGACTCATCAGACTTGTATTCTCAGAACCTATATTAATATGTCTGGGGTTGCAATTAAAAATATTAAACACCCAAGGTTAGAAATTATTAATAATTTAGTAACACTGAAGACTAGTTTCAATAAAGTATTTCTGGTTATTTCAGATGCAAAATTTTATATTAATTCCGAAATTTTATAGTAAACCGATATTGAAAAATCTATACTAATGTTATAAAGGATAAAGTTTGTAAAACATCAAAAAATATTGCACCCATTTCTAAAATTCTCTCACCATTACAATGCTACATTAAAATTTTACTTTGACTTTGACTTTAAATAAAAAAAACTGTTTTAATAATTACAGTAATTTTTAATATCGAAATTAAAGACATTAATAACTATTTATAAACTACCTCTCTGCATATAACTGAATCGAATACAATGTTCATTAACGCACACAAAATACATGGTTTTATCTGCGTAAAATTAAAGCCTATTTTCTTGTCCAAAATACTTTTTAATCTGTATTCTTTCAACGCAACAAAAGCCGAGCTTCCAGAAAATGAGCGCTCAACTGAACCCGTGTTCAATGTCCTAGATAAAAGTAGTTCAGGCTAATGAGCTTCGTCAATTAATTAAAGGACAAATAGGTATCATCACGCAATGGTGATTCAAAGTTATCGTACTTAATCCAAGATAGGTCATTTGTCGCTCCTGAAACGCCGACAGCCGTCAATTATCGCTAATTACGATGGGAACACGCGATTTTGAGAGCACAGTCCTATTTCTAGAATGTGTATCTAGAAATTGAATAAACTATTCAATGATTATACAGTGAAACTGTTAAATGGCCCATTTAGGTAAGATGGAATTATAGGTAAACGAAATCACTAACAGCGTATCAGATAGACAGAAGCTACATATAGGGAGACCAAGAGATACAGTTCGCAAAACTTCTATGGATATCTCATATACAAGCAGCTTTTTGTAATTGTAGAGGTGCAGGGTATCCCTCTTGCACGGGCTGATGAGCTTAAAGAAGTCGGTAAGGGTTTGGATAAAAATGCTTATTTATGATTATTATAGAGAGAGATAGAGCCAGTTGGAGGAGGCATATACTCTATAAGAGGTTCTTGAAAAAATATATATAATTATTTTTGTATAAAATTTTAATGTGTCTTTCTGTCTCATTTTTTGTAAAGATGGATGAGTGTTTCAAAGAATAAACGCGGCTTAATTATTAAAGCTGCTACATAGGGCACGTACGTATTATCAACATATAATACCAGTATGTTGTTTAAAACTAGACTATAATATTTTATTCTATGGACATTATATTTACTGCTTAGGTCACGGTTTAGGTCATAACTTGGTTATTGAAACAAATTTAAAAATGTGGGAATGCCGTAAAAATAAAATAGTAAAAAATTTTTGGTTTTCGGACTACGCAAACAAAAAGTAAAAGCTTTATTTTTAAGTATGTTTAAAGTCTGGTATTTTGTTAAAAAATTTCTTGTAACGATTGACTTAATTATCTACCACCGCTGTCCTAATTTACCAGATATTAAAAAAAACTGAGCCTTATCGGCTTTAGTTCAAAGCTTTAATGCCACTGATGGTTTTAACCTAATTATACAATGTGAATTGATTTGTTTATCACCATCACAGTTAAGTTTTATGACCTATTATTAGTTTTTCCATTTATACCATGGATTAATAGAATTAATATGAATTATTGCTGTTTTTAAGTGTTATTTATTATTTCTTATTTGACAGAAACTCGTTTAAAAAAAACCTTTACCGTTATTAAACGTTTATTTCAAAAATAATTGTCAACAAACTAAGATTTGCGTGCGTATTTAGATTAGTGGCCGCTCGGACATGTACTTCTTAAATATTTAGAAAATAAATTTATTTATTTCAAAAGTTTTGCCAAGGTGTTAATGCCCGTGTAATTGTAATCAATAGAATCTTACATCTAGAAACAAACAAAAGTAACAATAAAAACTAATTGCACACACTTCGATAGGCAAACAGCATGATTTTTACTTAATAACTATTACTAACATAATACCTAAAAACTATAAACAGGGGTAAAATATAAATAAAAACTTATAGCAACATTTTTAAAATAGCTAGCCAGTTTAGGGGAACATTTATTGGCTAACTTACATATCCCAGAAATAGCAGAGTACCTACCTACCTACAATAAATATCCTAGCCACTCAAGTGTAGATAACCAATTTTACTTCTTAAGTTTAAAATACAAACTTCAACTTCATCCAATCTTATCCAGATTATGGGCTTCCGACAAAACAATCAAATATTCCGGGTTTAATTGTTCAGGTGTTTAACTTACAAACAGCCGGTATCCGTAAACAAAGCCGAGATAATTTAGAAGTGAATAATGGTGGGGTTATTCAGAAAGTTTTCGTTATTAGCCGACTTTGATAAACAATTGTTTGAATGTTCTTATTTCAATGCTTTGGTGACAGCGTACACATAACGACAATACGGTATCAAGTTTAAATGAGCTATTCATGTGTTGATTAAATGAAACTGACGTGAGTCAAAAATTCGAGGGTATATTTAATATTATTTTTATTAATTAATAACTTATATCTATTATATTGTGTTAAGCAAATGTGTCGGCTATTTGGTGAAAACGCCAATTTTTTTTGTAAGCTACAAGTATCTACGCGTTATTGGTCAACGAGTGTAACTATTTATGAGTAGTTTCAATTAGGATTATGGAAAGTTCTTTTAAAATAAAAAACATAGTTTTATAAAAATATAGAATAAAAATAGCAAAACAAGAAAAAATCAATATCCAGAGAACACAAATTCATCTCTCTACCATGAGACAATATTAGAAGTTTACCTACGTCAATACAGATATGTGTATAAAAACTGAAAAACGAATTTAAATAATAGTTAAAGTTATGAAATAATTTCATATACTTATTTAATGTTGTTTTTGCGAACTTTGAAAAAATATTTTTATGCATATAATAAGGCGTGTTCTATTATACACGTTGTAATAGTACAATATAAACACTTAGGAGAACTGTGAAGTTATATAAAGGCAAGAAAAAATAGTAGGTAACACAAGTATTAACATTTACTTAGGCAACATAATAAAAGGAAGTAGGAAGGAAAGGAATTATTCATATCAAAAATTATAAATGTAATGAAAGTCTACAGACAAATTCGTATGACAAAATGAACAATATCCCTCTCTTTTTTATTGATTTTTTATTCTCTCTGATTTTTAAATATGTGTAACAGAAAAAAAAAGAAATGATAAACATTATTACACATAAAAAAGGATGTATAGTTAAAAGAGAAGGTGCACTCGCCCGTTTCCCTGTGTCGTGTCGTATTCTACTTAATACTTACAATTTTATAATTACACTACTGTTGCTTACGCATTTGACACTCTTACACATTTATAGTAGTTTCCGTTTCCCTTCCCAGTTTTCGTTTACCATGTTTTGTTCTAGCTGCATCATGTATCTATAAATTGGTATTGTAAAACCGATATTTTTGATATTTTTTTATTACTAACATATATAAAAACATCCACTTCATAGTAATATTCTAGGTGTGAGCAATATATAATAAGAATTATTTTAAATAGGATTTGTTAAAGTAATTGTTGTTAGCTTGGTAGCAAGTCATCTTATTTATTCGTATTCTTTTTAAATTTCAGAGAAGTTACCTAGAACAATTTGGCTACTTGAAGAAAGGTCAACCAGAAGTCGGCAACCTCTTAATGGGCGATGTTTCGCACTCCTATGAAGACGAATTTAGGATCGCTATTAAAACTCTCCAAGTACGTATAATTTTACGAGTTTCTTATTAATATTATAAAGTAATAACAAAAATTGAGATGGACATCTTAATGCACTAAAACCCAACTACAAATCTGCAATTACCACACAAGAGAGCTATCAGATAATGCTTTCTATAAAAAAATAAATTTTATTTTATTAAAATGGAGAAGTTTCCCTTGTGAAAATAAGGAATTATTAAATGCTTAAATTTTCATTAGCGTCAAGGTATTAAATTCTTGTTGTATTAATTTTGCCTTTTTGTATTTTAGGAGTTTGGTGGCATTCCTGTAACGGGGGAGATTGACCATTCAACAAAAGAATTGATGAAGCAGAAGCGATGCGGTCGGCCTGATCGTGAAGTTGGCGATGAAAATAGGAGAAAGAAAAGATTTGCCGTGCAGGGAGAGAAATGGAAACACACGAATTTAACTTGGAGGTAAGAACATATTTTTATATATATGTAATTTAACGCCATCCACGTTTGCTTGTTAAAACTTTTGAATTTAGTGTTTAGTGACATCTATTGGCAAACTACAGCACTTGTTCCTGGATGGTGGTCTCGATGTTATGTGTTCGAAGCGCCATCTAGTTGTGACTTGGTAGTTAGATAAATTTGTACTAGATGTCGTTACTAAACCTATTTTAAAAGAGTTGAAGCTCGACAGAACCCATTTAATTAATTAATTATTCTTATATGGGTATAGGTAGTTATAATTATTAGATAGTTGGTTAGGAAATTCGTAAATAAATAAATTATATAATAAATAGTTTGCTAGTGTATATACCTATATTATAATACATAAATAATTCTGAATAGGCCAGTTTTATTTTCTACTGTCCAGTTTTGTTGAGCTTCAGAGCCTCATAAAATTGATGACAAATAATAGTTAAATCACGGACATCGTAAAAGTTACGACGCTTTCCGCGTGGCTTAATTAAAAGAATATGTCCTCCCTAGAATATGGAGTGCGCAGTGGGTTATATTTTATAGGAAATTATTTTTATTACTGCAATAATTATGTAATTTGAATTAGTATGCTTATTTACCTTTATAACTTATCTTAAAAATTTGTAGTGGTATACCTATATTAAAAAGCATAGCAATTAGATAAAGTATACACGCTAATTGCCATCAGTTATCCGAGCATAGTTTTCCACAGATGCGATGTAAGGCAAAGTCAGACATGCTCGTTCGTTATTTAATGTTAAAACAACTATAAAGTCCGGCTAATTTGAAAAGTTCGCAAACACCTGTATAGATCGCGACTTCAGCACAATTTCCTGGCGAATTAATGGTCTGTCAATATTGTAGTCTTCCATTACGGCTTGTTGTGCAAACGGGCAATAAAACGAACAACGCCATCTCGCGGCGGGTTTATGAGAATGCGGCGCCGGAAAAGCGTGACCACAGAGAGTTTGTATTTATTTTTCGAATGCATTGTTCATTTAATGTTCAACTCTTAAATGAAAAATATGTTTTGTACTAGTCCTTAAATCCGATTTGATTTTGATTACCAATTAACTATTATTTTCCATGAGACTACAAAGGCTTTCTAGGGACCATTTTGCAGCTGAGCCAAAATGTTTGATACCTAAAACCAAATATACGTAGACTTATACAAAAAAAAGCCTCGTCCATCGTATTTTTCAGTGGTACGGCAATTTATAAAAGGTTTTATATTTGAGACTTTAGGTACCCTACTCTTATATATTGTTATTTAATTATTATTGTACTGACGACGTACTTAGCACTAAGACTATTCATTATTGAATAACGTTTTCTACTATATATATTTTTATTTTATTTATACCAGGGAGTCACGTAGCCTCAGGTTTTAAGTGAACGTTTTTGGAGTTTAAAGTCAGCGCTTTCAATAGCTAAGCTTTCTCAATGTTATTTCTTAGTTAAGAAGATCAACTTTAAGTAACACTTAAAGTTAGTTTAATCTTTTACTTTGCAGCATAAGCCTAGTGGTTAAACGGACTCTCAAGTCGACCTTCGAACCCGACTGGGCAGTAAATTATCGTTGCATGTACACATATATTTAGACAAACATCTTGATCATCAGCAGTCCTTAGATCCAAAAAGTGTATCAGGCACAGGAGGCTGCTTAAATGTGTGGAGAGTACTCGAAGTGAAGACGAATAAATTTTTGCTTAAATTATATTTTTAAAATAATACAAAAGATCCGCAAAGACAATACAGTTAACGATGCCGTTGGTGGTTCGATTTGTGAATGCCCGTGCAGCGGATTAGGCTGCTCAGGTTTTACTTGTGCCCTTTAATAATAGTACCCCTGACTGCGAATCCATGGGTCTCGGGTTCGATCCCCGGCTGAGACAAACATCGATGTGCTTAGGTCTTGGGTGTTTAAATATGTATTTATATATTTAAACACCAAATATATCTATAATATGTATTAAATCCGTTGCCTAGTACCCATAACACATGCTTCACCAGCTTAGCATGGGAGTTGGGACTAGGTCAATTGGTGTGAATTGTCTTTAAAAAAAAAAAAAGATTCCAAAAAATGAATTTACAGCTATTACCTAACAACATTAGCGTTCAACAATAATTTTATTTGGCGAAGATATATCGTGTTAGTCTAATTATTCGCAACAGTGCGTCGTATGAAATGCAAACAAGGTTTATGTCAGAAACATCGGGCGATCAGTACCGTAACTGGTTGGGGGCTCTAAACCCGGCAGTGTCCAGTATTAAGAGAGCGCGTTTTTTACCGCTAGAGGTATTTTGGACATTTCTCCGTCTTCAGATTAAGTGTAAGAAGTAACTAATTAGGGTGGTTATTCATATTTGCTTCGCACTCTTAAAACATTCCCTGTTTTTTTGTATTTTGTACATTTTCTTATGTAACCTATTAGACATATTCGTATGTGTAATAAAAATAAATAACTCAAACTCAAAATATCTTTATTCATGTAGTTTAACAAATACACTTATGAATTGTCAGAAAGAAGTTAAATTAATTGTAAATTTACACTTACTACCAGTTCACAAGTCAAGGGCGTAGAGCGGGTAAGAAGAACTGGCAAGAAACTTTCCGCAACTCTTTTTAATAGGTAGGTAGTTCTTGGGTAGGTTAGAGTTAGCGCTATGAGGGAAAAGTGCTTGACAAAATCGTTTCACAAAGAAAAAGTAACGCCTACGGCTCTGTAAAGCTCTGGTGTGTTTTGTAAACTGAATTAAATAGACAAGCGTCTTAGCATTGTCAAATCCTGGGACCTTATGGTAGAAGAAGATAGGTGACTCCCGATAGGATAGGCAAGCAATTTTAAAGGATTAAGATGTCATGCGCGGACAAGTTATTCTGCTCACAACGAATGTAAATAGCGATGAAATATATCTACCGCACACGTTCATTTGTTAACTAATTAAAAACATACTTGACCCTACGATAAAAACATAAGATTGCTAGGTCATCTAAATTAGTAATAAGCTAACTGGTTGTCACCCCATTGTTAACAACACCAACTGATACAACTACATTGTCACAATGGCAGTGACAGGTGACGGGCGCGTACCGTCTCCCGCCGCGCGCTGCTGTCAGTGCCACGCGGTCCGAACTCCAATATAGCATGAAAATTATTCTAATACTGTGTATTTATATATTTTATAATATCGCTTACACGAGTCCTTCAATAAAATAATAACTCACTTAGATAACATTTACACATTTTTATATTAAAACTTGTAAAGAAGCATTGCTTGATATATAATAATATAACCCGTGATAATATGTAATTTCTTTCCGATGTCTTTGAATTCAAACTTTTTATTATAAGTTTATTCATAAGACTAATAGATTCAATTTTAAATTTGTTGCATATTAAACTAGCGAACCCTACAGACGTCCTGAACACTAATCTTAAAAAACAAAAATTATAAAAAACAACGGAAAATCTCAACCATTCTCGAAACACAAATCTCATCGAAACCGGCCCAGCCGTCTAGGTGGTTTTTGGTTACAAACACACGCACATATTTTTAAATATAAAGATAATTCCTGTTCATTTTTATATAATACATTAATTATGTATTAAATTAAAAAATCATTTTACACTGCAAAGCGTCGTAAGTCGGCACATAAAATATTTAGCACTGACCAACAGAAAACCGAGCTATTAACTCGAACATTCACGTAAAAGTTATAAGCTCTTCGGACGTTTTAATACAATATTGTGCGCAGCCCCAAGCTTAGGAATTAGGTTGACATTTCAATGCCCATTCCTCACCACGTCGCTCTTTATTTCCATAATACAAGTACCCTCGCGATTTATGTACATCTATCTATGCTGTGAAGTTAGACGTATATTTTTAATTGTAGCTGCCCGTATACAAATATGTATATGCACATATAAACAATAATTCAGTAATTCTCAAAGAATATTCAACGATGCATTAAAAATATTTCATACAAAAGTATTCTTCACTCCTGAACTATGTCTATACTTAAAATAAAGAAATAAAAAACGCAAAGTAATTAAAAATAATATCATAGATTATGGTGTAATAATAATTAATTATAAAACAGTATGAAACACCAAAATAAATTTAGAAATATGATTCACATCAACCGTGATCAAAGTCGCGGTCGGACGCTAATTTTGTTAGTTAAAGAGTTCATGACAATATGTATTCTTAAAAGCTTAAAGCTAGATCTTTAGACAAAATAGTTTCTTGACATTGTCATCCATTTTTAAAGGAATCGTAAAAGTTAACAGCGCGTTAAGTGCTGTCTCAACTAAGTGCTTATTTTTAAAAACAAACTCTACCCTTTTCAAAAATTTTAAATAAACATTAGTTCTTTGCTTCTTATTTAATGAGCTAGAGTATTATTTGCATAACAAATCTTACAAAACAGAAAAATTATAATAGTATTTACTTAAAAAAATATTATGATACTTAATTTGGGACCTGCCTTACAAGCCCGGATAGCTCAGTCGGTAGAGCATTGGACTTTTAATCCAAGGGTCCAGGGTTCAAGTCCCTGTTCGGGCGGCCTAACTTTTTGTTTTTATTTTTTCGTAATATATCCAGTAAATTATTTTTAACTTTATTTGTCAGTTAAGAACGATCACAGAAAGTTGAAGCTCACAAATTATTCTTTCGTGTTTGCGACGGTGTCATTGACCGGCGTCCACACAAGTACTTGCTTAATAACGTATTGATTGTCTGATTAGTGTGAAACCTTATTAGAACTGTCTCGATAAATGTAGAGGGTCTACTCCAAATACACGTATCGAACAAAATGAGACATCTTATAAAGTATTTTTCATTATATAAAGAAAGAAAATTTTTATATTTTTATATATGAAATAGTTTTACGGACTACAACGTTATTGTCACAATGTAAGAATAAGTAAGCTTAGTAAAATATAAAAAAATTGACGGTTTACAGCTGACATATTATTTTACCGATTTATGTAGGGATAAGAAGCATAATATTCATATTCATCAATACTTTACGTGCATAAAAAACAGATGGCGCCAGGTACCAATAATTCTTTATTAATTTCATTACCAATTTGAGTTAGTTCTGAATCTTGTGTACATACATTATTCAACTATATATAATTTTGTAGGTTTCTTTTATCCAACCTTATCGTTAGGAGTCTCAGATTTTTATACATTTCTATTTATTTATTTGGGAAACAAAACAGATACTGTATCTCTATACAATAAAAAAGTTAAAAAATAAAACATAAAATAAACACATTGGATGTAACCACAAAAAGTTTCACTGATAATAAATATCATACAGAGCAAAGCAAAACAAAACATGACAGCAAAAAAATTATAAATCCGGAGGTAGACAAACATACTAGTAGCTATAATAAAGAAGAAATATCCTTGTAGGATTAGGGCATTAATAGTTGTCTTAAATTATTATTAAATGAAGCAGGAAAGGAGTGCGAAATGGGGTCGATGTTAGTGGCAGAATCCAAAGTAGAACACATCCTGTGAAGAGGCTCGCGGAACCTAATGTTGGTTCTGGAGGCGGAAGGTTAAAGGTTCTGATGTATTTCTCTAGTTAAGATATACATAAACAAAGCTGTATCAGGAATATATTGATAAATAAATAAATTCATATACATTTTTCTATAGATATATGTCATAGTAAAAATGCACATCCCATCTGTAACTCAATGAATAAATTTACACAAAGATAAGTTTATTTCATTCAACGTATGGAAGGGTCAGTTGAGTGGCAATTCCAATGAAACATGAAACTTTTGATAGAATTCAACGCATAATCAGTAAAGTTTTTATTGAAAGATACATTATATATGTACTTTATTATATTTTAATGTTTCTCGACATTATCGTATTGGTATAGTAAGGATAATGTATGTATTTATGTAATAAATAAATAATTTTTTGTTGATTCAAACGCAAAAATATTGGTGGTGGGTCAAAAATTTGAATTAAAAGTTATACAATTAAATTAAAAACAATTAAATTGTTTTAGATTTATGCAAGTACTACACGATTTTAATGCGAATATAACACACGAACTGTATGAGTCAAGTAAATAATGTAATAAATTAAAACTTATCACGGTTAAATTAATTTTATTTAAAAGAGAACATGGTTCTATATAATTTACGATTACATTGAAATAAAATATTATAATTTTCAATGACTACACTATTTGGCAACTTATTATATTATCTATAGATAAAGTACAGAAATGGCTGAAAGTGTATTTTTTTTTATTGAATAGCATTATTTATAAGGATTAGTTTCATAAATTACGTTGATGAACAATAAGAAGTGAACAATATTTAAAAAATCGAATATTAAACACGTTTAAAGAATATAATTTTTATAATAAACAAAAATATCTTGTCTTTGGTCGTGAGATATATATTCGAAATAGTTACAGATCTATAAAAGTCACAAGAATTTCATATGACAAGTGCAATTCCTGTAAGTTCCTTTAAATTAAACGTCAAAGCTCCCGTAGCTTCGATATAGTGTTAGAACTTTATAATATCTTACGCTCTACTGACCTGAAAAGAGGATTGTAATTACTATAAATATAACTTGGAGATATTTCTTGCGATTTCTGCGTGGAATTGAGACAAAAGCGATTTTTATAGGGCCTCGTCTATTTTCATAACAGAGTTGGTTGAGAAGTTTCAGCAGAAAATAAATAAATTTATGTTGAAGCACTTCAGTAAGTTAATAATTGTAAATATGAATACACAGATATTACGCAATTATATTCGAAAATGTAGCGGTTTGGTGGTTTAGTTGACAGGTTTTTAATTTTATCCCGACTACTCACGTACACATATACCCAGGACCCACATAATTTAAAATCATGTAGAAACGATCCTATATATTTATTGTATGTTCGTTATTGATTTCGTTTTGCATCTACAACGTAGCTGCATCGTAGCGCTACATACTCCTACGTGTTTTCTAAATTAAAAATTGTTTTTTCTATGGCGTAACTATATAAGGATTTAAATTTAATTTACTAGGCAGAGCTTAAGCGCTAAAAGCTCAATTAGGAATATAATATTCATATAGTCATTAAATTCAGGCTTGTGTCCGGCGAACCTGAAACTCCAATTAAACGGAAGCTCTAGACGACTTCACAGGACTGCACGAGGCGATCACTCACTTGCACTTTTAATTAATTTATTTATTGAGGCGCGATCCGACGGCGCAACTCGCGAATCACCCCGCCCGCCCCTCGACCTATTATAAAAGGCGTGGAGGAGCAATGACGTCCGTCAGTTTTCTCAGGGACGCTTCGGGCGCCGACGCCCTCTCCCGGGAAAATTTCGGAAGTATTCTCAGTAATGTAATGGTAGAAAGTTAAGGGGTTTTCGGGTTTGTGTTTAGGGTTCGGTTGGTTTGGCGGCGGTGACCTTGAGGTGAGTGGCTGTCGCGTGGGCGAGTCGATAGGCTTTGGGCGCTCCGCCCGCCCACGCGCCTGCATTACAGCTGTTTTATTTGATAACGTGTCATTCCGTTGCTTTACTTTTATTTATATGCATTTTTCATTTATTTTTAACTTATTGGTCAGTTACCCAATAGTTCGTAATTTTTTTTTTCCTTAAAGCCGGGAACTGAAATTATTATTATTTCCAATTTTATTTTTACTCTAGATCTTGTGAACAAGTAAAAAAAATATTTATAAATCTTATACGGTAATGTATATGGTAATAAGGTAACCGAAAATGCCACCATTTGTTGGGGCAATAGACACGCTGTAATTGCTGTTCACAGAATGGCTCTTAATTTGCCTAATCTACCCGATCCCACTCTTGTGAACTAAATCGCACGGTTTTATTGCATATTTAAGCGAGCCCTAATATGTCTTAAGTAATTTTACCATTATTCCCAAATACGGTACGGCAATAATACTGGAGCGCGTTATATTAATTTATGTAAGAAACTTATTAGATTTTTAATATTTAACATTTTCTTTCGAAAAATAATATTAACAAACAGCAAATTCCTGTTCCATAAACCACTAAACCGATATAAATAAAGTAGAGATAAGAGGTAAAGATGGCCCCTTCATTCTCGAATAAGCAGATAAAATATTATAATGAGAGCTCAAAAGACCATAGTTTAACATGCTAAAAATAAAACAGTTCTGGTTTAACGAAGCGCATAAGTTACTAAAATCACAAATTTAACCCAAAAACTCGCTGCGAAATAAATACGAAAATAAAAAAGAACAAACACAGATTATGCTGCTATTATATGCACAAATAAAACTCGAGACTTTTTGTTCCAAATAAGCTAAGCCTCGCCCTCAAATTTCCCACAAATAATTTAATAGGAGAGTTGCGTTTATTGTCATCGTAATAAAATTGAGATAAGGAAAGAAAACAGCTGCTATAATTAAAGAGAAAGCTTTTGCCTATGTTATTTAATTACTAATTTTGACACTTTCATATTTACGAGATTTCCTCTTGTAATGAAATTAGGCTCTTGAGAACTGTTTTATCTTGAAACGTAAGACGCTTAACAGGAATAATTATATTAGATTTTAAAGGCACTGCCAACTTACTTTATGTTTGTAATAAAAATTTGCTTTCTTTGTCGTTACTACGAGGTTATCGCCCGCGGCGTCGTAAGCGTAGAATCAGTAGAAAAATATATATGTAGGGGAAGGTGGGGACCCTTCGTACGGTTTTCACATTTTATTTTTTAATTTTTTTATTTTTCCATGAATCAATCACCTGATAGCTTAAATTTATAGTCTAACTATCTGAGATTCAAATAAAAAAATGACAAATGATTTCATCCGATGTTTCAACCATAATTATGATTTAAACTAAATCTGGAAAACGTACGAATCTGCCCCATCAACGGGGCACCTTCGTACAGTGTTTGGGGTACCTTCTTACGCTGTGGGGTAGTTCAAAATTCATTTATTAGCAATGAAATTAAACACAAAAATAAAGATTTAATTTCTATTAAACAAAAATAAAATACTTTTCTTATGTAAAACAAAATTTAATTAGTTAGGTATCTTAAATTTAGAATTACATTTTTTACTCTTTGGTGTGGATTACAACTTCTTATTTTCGGGTGTGGCAGTATAAATTCGTGGTTTTCCTGGCCGTCATCGTCATTTTGCTTGTTTTATTACTTCTTACAGAATGCGAATAGGGTCGAAATGCCTCTGGTGTCAAAACTGACTTCGAAGGAACTACTATTTGATGGATTGGTAAATTATTCACAGCATCTGGTTCACAAGCATCAAAATCAACCTTAGTCAAGATGCCTTAACAGTAGTGTAATATGTAGAAAGTCGAAAACTTAATTTGTATGAAAAAGACAGTTCGCGTCGACAAATTATTATACAAATTTAGTTGTACAATTCGTACAAATGTGCCCCATCTAGTGCTGTCCGAATGTACCCCACTAACTGAATAACAACAAAATATAACTTATTTTAATATTAATAGGAAAACGTCATAAATTAAGTATTGGAGACGTATCTTAAGTATATTTTGCTAGTTACTGATAGAATACTCTACACGAAAACTTATTTTATCTACGGTAACAAGAGATAAAAACATAGATCAAAAAATTACTTACCGAGCGCGAAAACACGTCTATGCCTGTAACTTCACTCTCATCGGTGCGAATTTCACGAAACTTCGTTGATGTATAGTTGGTACCTCGACTCATGCACACATACAAAAGCAAGACTGTACTTTATTTCGTTCAAGTTTTATTTTGACTGTATGAATGTGCCCCGCGTACGAAGGGTAACGATCTTCCCCTACTTACTAATACATAATTTCAGTTATCCTATTATTAGTTTTTGACCGGGCTACACCTTCGATAATGCAGAACTACTAAGATAATAGTCGTAAAATGAAAAAGTATAAATATAAGTTTTATTGTATTGACAATTTTCTCATTAACTCGTTATTTTATTCTTTTAATTTATATTTATAGACAGGTAATTTCCTGTGATTCCTAATCACACTTATAATCTTTATACTTTATACTTGTATATTTTCATATGTTCTTAAAGTAGCTCTTGTTTGTTATATCCTATGCGTTGAATATAAACACGCGCCCGTCCGATTACTTTACATATACAAAGAAAGATAAAGTAGATTATATGTACCAATAGATTTATTATCAACCATAAATCCCAGTAACTCCAAGAAGTACAACTAATACACGGCATATTTCAACCTTTAAAAAAAATCTTTAATGAAAAGCGATCTCTCTCAAATACAGTCAATAAATATAATTCACATTAAATTTATTGACTGGTCAGTCGTAGTTGCAACTATTTTCTTACAGCTATTTAGTATGCATTGATTACGAATTACAGAAGCTCGTGCATTGAATTAGAATCTACATCAATAATTGAATGACGAATATGGTTCAATTATTGCTCTTAGAGGCAATCCTAGTAACTAAATATAAGGTACTAGCGGCCATTTCCTTCGCTCGGGTACGTTCTTTAATATTGTGGAACATTTTTTTTGTTCTATCATCAATAGTTTTCGCAGCGCATGCGATGAAAGATATTTTATAAGTATTTTTTTTTACACCTTGGGTACCATTATTATATTTTTTAGGGATCCTTATTTTTTCTCGCAGTTAAAATAGCCTATATTTGGTAATAATGTATTTCAAATGGTGAGAGTATGTTTAAAGTCGGTCCAGTACTTTTAGAGCCAATTCTTTACAAACATACTTACATACACATCTTTTCTCTTTATAATATTAGTATGAATATAGATAAAACATTTTTAAATAAAAACAAATCTCTTGTGTTATAGAAAGGCCTTATTCAACATTAAACTTAAAGCATTATTGTAAGCTAAGTTAAAATGTAGTCAGAAATAAGATAAAAATATTATATTTATATTTTTGTTACTACTTTTATGTCCCTACGTCTACGTGGGTCAAAAGGCATCCAGAGTAGTCTGGTTTTTCCAGATTTCTTCCTCTTAGCAATAATGGTCTGTTGCCAGATAGGCGACCATATATCAATTTGCGAGTTCCAGTCAAGTTCGCTTTGCAATATGACTTGGGACATTGGTCCCAAGCATTTCCTGCGTTGCACTGTTTTATCAATCGACACCACCATAGCTATTTACATAAGATCGATACCTGTAACAAATAATCGTAAAAGATCAGTTCTGTCGTATTTGTGTTTAGACATTATAGAGAACTCTAACGCTCAAATGAAATCAAAACGCTTTGTATGAAAAACTGTAAAACAAATATTTTTGGAATAGCACTTTTGCCTCGGTAACTTACGGAATGTCTTTTAAAATGAGTCAGTAGCTTCAAACACAACGACCCTTAGAATTTACAAGCTCTTTCATATAAATATAAGACTTTAGATATTCCTTAACTTGTGCATGTAGATTTGATTTGAAGCCAACATGCAGGGACTCAATCAAAATGTTTGCCTACATTGTAAGCCGTTCCAATATTTTCACCTTTCCCGTTGTTTCTGAGCTCGGATTTTATATTTTATTTCTTCAAGAGCTTTTGCGATTTTCATTTTAATAAAATGTATTTAAAACCTTTTTATCAACCTCCATCCGTTGATGCTCTCGGAATTAAAACCACGACCCAAAACACGGGCGCTGTGAATTGATTTTTGTGTTTAACTATAAAATCTTGTTAAATATTATTAAATGTATCTTAAAGATTCTAAAAAGAGTATTTTCAATTTTAAGTTCTGTTTCCTTTATAAGTCTAGTCTTCAAACATAGGCAAAATACCAATGACGAATTCCACCCACAACAGCCTTCACTTGTCTATAATGAAACATTGAAATCACCATGAAACAGATTCATTACCGTGTCTGCGTCATGCGTCATATATGATTAGGTACTAGACTGTATTATTACATGACGTCACGTGACAATCACATACCCAGTAAAGCCTCTAACGAAAAAAGACTTTGGCCCACACGTAAAAATGTTTACACAATGAACGCTTGACCGCATTTAATTGTTCTATTAAAATTCTCAGATGACTCATTAAGCTCTGACTTCTGATTCAAATTACTCTTATATTCAGCCCTTGGTAATTAAAAACGCATTTACATTGATGTGGTTATCGGATAGCTGGGCCACTTCACTCAGCATTATCCCGAATCAATTAACTCCATTAATAATTTAATAATGTCCTAGGAACATGTTTCATGCAATTTAACGATATACTTTTAAACACACATGCAATTACGCCAAAAACGACGTTTAAGTGAAAAAATTATATTTAATACCAGCAGACTCAGCCAAGCCTTGCTGTGGCTAAGGTTTTTGTTATATTACATAGCAAACTAATTAAGGGAAACTGTAGGAGAACACCAGTCATGGGACCACCATGCTTTTTTGATGGTTGTGCCATTAAATTGTAACTTATATGAAACGTTGGTACTTTTTACTTGTTAGAATTGTGACTGTCGAATAATAAACAAATAATTTGTAATAA